CCTCGGCCCGTGCCACTTCCAGCAGCTCCCATTGGCCTGGAGCAGCGAAACGTGGCCAGTGGGAGCTGTAATCGGCCGGTCCTGCGGACGGCAGGTAAACAAACCAGCCTGGCCCGCCAGGGGCTTTCCCTACACAAGCAGCATCCCAAGTTTGGGAAACACTGCTGTATGGAATTATATTTTGTAAGTGATTTCATGCAATGTTGCTGAAACACTGTCAGTTAACATTTTTCAGGGAGTATTATTTTCAAAGTGAAAGGCTTCAGTTTTAGTGCCTACTCTAATGTCTTTAAGGTCCAGAAAAAGTATTGCTGCAGTGTGTAAGCTTCTCTGTTTACAGATCAGAAGGCCATACTGTTTCTTTTGTGGACATGGAAACTTAGATTTATCAAATCAAAACTTCTGACCTGATTGTTTTTTTCAGTGGTGTTGCGCTCCTACTGTTCAGCTCCTACTGATTGTAATGGGAGCTGCAGGTGCTTATCGCCTTAGAAAATCAAGATTATCCTCCCTCAATAAAACCCAAGGGAAAGAGAAAAGAGAGCATGAGGAACTTGCTTCATGGAATTTCCAAAATATGTTCACCTAATTAACAGGTTTTCAGCCCTCCAGAAGAAACACAGGGTAACTCCGACACACAATCTGAGGAACGGGGCAAAGCAAGTTACATCCCTTGGGATCCTAAGACATCCATGTGGTGGCTGGAATCACTTCTCTGCATCCTTTCCAGAAATAAAGCATTCCTGCATCTGCTTCAAAAGGAAACGACTTAGGATTAGTCTGTTTCCTCTGCAGGGAGCTCTTTACACTAGAAATTGACTGCGGAGAATAAGGGAGTAGGATTGTGTGACTGGGGTCAGTATCCTTTTTCATCTGGCAAGGGGAACATTCCTCTTAATGTTACTCTCTTTTTGTCTGTTTTCTATGTTCTGTCCAGACTGACTGTGAATAACTAATTGGGAAGCATAATGGCACCAGTTACTCACTATGTCAACTTGCCAGACACAAGTGTTTTGTGGCAATCATGTGGTCGGGTGGAAACCAAGCCAAGTATCAGGAGAGCTAGGTTCTGTTCCCAAGATCTTCCA